ACTGGGGTTCAAGGAGACAGAAGCAGACATAGAAAAAGAAGCATAGATACAAAAGGCAACCAGCTCCACAGGCGGCCCCGTCCAGGAAACACACACTGATGATGTAAGCAGTCTTTAAAAACCAGCCGTTTTTCAGAACTATTTATGTAAACAAGATCATAAAAATGAAGATTCCTGTTTTTTAAGCCGCATAAAACTTTCCTGAATGCTAAGAGCCTCTTTGGTCTCTTTGAGTGTTTTATATCTAAATAAGGACATTAGGCGATGCCTCCGGCGACCCAAACACCTTCTCCTGAGTAACAGCATGGTGGCCATTCTTCCTCCCTCAGAGGTGATAAAATTTGATACTATAAATAAAAACTTTGCGCCTACTTCTCTCATCCCAGGACCCACACAGGCCCATGACTCACAACTAAAACACCCACAACACAAAGTCACGACCACTCAGTCACTAAAACCACCGACTCGGCACGGAAGGTGCTAAATACTGCAGTTGGAAGTTTAGTCTGAGAATAAAACTGCAGCTAAAAAAAGACGTCTTAAAGTGTTCAGTGTTTCCATCTCCACTCAGAAAACAGACTGTAGTGAATTAAAGCGAATCCTGAACGTAAAGATCTTCATACAGAAACGGAAAAGTGGATCAAATTAAATGCATCTGAACGTTGAAACGTATCAGAATGAAGAATAAATGTTATTAATCAGGCATGAAAAAGATAAAACAGCAAACGATTAAATCTTAAGTGACTGGATAGGTGTAACTCACCCTGTCATGTGAACTTTTCACCACCCCTCCTTTCACACGCTGCTCATCCTGGACTGACACCAACATGCAGACTGAGTGAGAATGAAGGCTGCGCTCTGACTTTATTTCCTCTTTCATACAGATGGGCTCACGCAGAGGAGAGGAGAATTATCAGGGCATCATTAGCAGCTTTGTGGGAGGGGCTGATTTCTGTGGCCAGGTGTGTTTCAGAGCACGCATATCTTAGATTTTCTAAAATCTTATTTTGTGATTTCATGTTCCTCCTTTACGAAATCTTCCCCTGGTTCTGTGAGAAACAAATCAAAGCTGTTAGCTTTGTGTTGTGTTAAAAAAAACAACACAAAGGGAGAGAGCACTTTGCTCAAACTCTGCAGGTTTACTAGTGGTTCCTAGAATTTCTAAAAGTAGAATGGGAGGCAGATCTTTTAGTTC